AAGGGGGCTCAGGGTTGGCTGGAAAAATCCCACTGTGATATGGTGCTGTTTGTCAGTCAACAAAGAATGCTGCGTCCTGCAAACAGAGGAAGGAGGAGCTTACCTGAATCTGAGGGCCATTTGTGAGTCCTGTCTCCCCTTCACTCACTCTGCAAGATGCACCGAGCGTTTGCTATAGCAAACACTCTAAAAACAAGACGCTTCTCGGCGTCTTGCGAAGCACCTCTAGCTTGGTATCCGGCAGCAGGTTAATCCTCCATACTTGCTTGATAAGAAACACCTGAGTGCAGATTCCCCACCTGCACAGACCTTCCAATCAGAGTCGCCAGGGGAGGAGTCTGGAGTCTGCATTTTTAATTTGGGCCTTGAGGGCTGGGAATCATTGGTTTAAAGGAAGGAACAACTGCTAAATCACACAGCTGTCATCTCGGATAAGAGACACCTGGCTGAAGAAATGGGTTCAGCCATTCTAACATGCAGTTACTAAGCCAATGAAGGGAACGTTCTGGGTTCTGTGGATATGAAAGTAGACAAAGCAGACGTGGCCTCTGCCCTCATGGGCCGCCTATATTGTGGGGAACTATAAAATCGCTTTGTTACACAATTTTCTTATCACAGAACAAGGGGGCTTGAACTAGACCGTGTACAGACGTTTCCAGCCCAAAGATACCACCATTCCATGACTCTAAAAAAGGATATTAACCTGATTGTAGAAGGAAAACTCCAGCAAATGCTCAGTTACCCAGGGGCCAAAAGAGGGACTTCCTGTAAAGAGGAGGGCGCCCAGGTGAATGGAGAGTGATTGCCTTCGGAAGCCACAGATACATTCACTTGTGCCCAGAAGTGGACTGTGGAGCATGTAAGTCACTCCGTTTTCCAGTTCATGGAGAAAAAAAAAAAAAGAAAAAAGAAAAAACAATTCAAAGAAACTCAAGCGGAAAAGAAAATGTATGGAGAGAAACCTGACACCATGATCTAGGACGAAGTCAGCCTTGGCAGCGCTGGGTCCTGGAGCTTCATGGGGTCATCAAGTTCTGTTTCTCCATTGCTTGGCTATTTTGCTTAACTCAGCAGGATCCGGGAGCCCAAATCGCACACAACAGTGTAGAATGCGAGAAAGCCCCGAACACCTGTCCCTCCCAATGAATCCCAGCCAAAAGATCACCGCACCAGAGCGCACAGAGAAAAGTTGAAAAGAGGATGTTCATTGGCCCACCATGACCCAATCACTGCGGCCAGAAGGATGGCGGTATTCTGATTGGCCAGGCATTATATGTGTGGAGGCCAGTCCCGTGAAGTGGCTGGGAATGGGTTTCTGTCGTCAAAAAGTGGAATGGAGCGCCATTCTTCAAAGTAAGGGATGCTAGCGAACAGTGAGAAGTTTACGACAGGAAATTCTGGTGTTGGCTGCAACAGGGGTGCCATTAGCCTCATGGTGCACAGCTGGGTCGGGGGTGGGAAGTGAAATTCCGCCAACTACTTCTACCCTGTCTTTGGGGCTGAAGTGCTGGGGACTTACAAGGGAATGTGAGCTACAAGATACCCCAGAGATTGCTAATAAACAAGTTAAATCTATGACAAAGCAATAATGGCCTAGTTATAATCACCATATTGGGTGCTTTAGGAAACTAACCCCTCCTTTTGGCCAACAGAATCCCCAGGCCTACTCTGTAGGCTTGGGAAATCCTATAGCTTCAGGTAATTTGCCTCCAGAATCAGTCATTTGGCCCTCAGTCACTGCTACAGTTCATAACATTGTACCGTTTGCCGCCCATGATCAAGAGAAGCAATATGGACGTCCAACAAGTATGGCAATACGCCTTCCAGGTTCCCCCTTTCTTTTTGTGACATGAACACTTTTGGCATTACCTTTGGGTTCCACTACAGTTTTCACATCATCCTTCCTCCACTGTGATTCTCCACCAGGCTCACGGATAACCTCTAGTGTACTCCTTAGAAGCAGTGGTTGAGGTAGCAGTGCTGAGTGGTTTATGTCAGGCATCTGGCTTCTTTTATTCAGGCTTCTATATGCTCAAGTTTGAGCATCATTTTATTGCTGTATGTATGTTTGCATGATTCAATCCTAGGTTGAAGGAAGGTGAGAGAGGCTGAAAGCCCTAGAACTAATGGAATCCTTAGCTTCAGTATCTCCTTATGTTAGAGAGAAGGGAAGTTCCATTTTGGATAATGTCCTGTGTCCTTTAAAGTGGTCAGTTTTCAGCTGAGACTAGTGGATGGAGCACAAGTTGCTGTCCATCTCTGCCCACATCCCTCTCCCTTCCCTGAAATTCTTACAGCATTTAATACTTCCACCATATATAATATGCAGAATAACCTCACTTTTTCACTAGAAGTCATATAGTCTTCACTTAGTTAACACAATTCTGGTAGGCTTTGCTGTTTTTTCCAGCCTTCAATAGATTAGAAACAGTAAAAAAATAATTACACGAAGTATTACAGTTGTGATCCATGCTATAAAGGAAAATCAGGGTGCTATGAGAGCTTATAACAGAACCAAACATAAATCAGAGGGATTAAGGAAGGCTTCTGGAAAGCACTTAAGTTGAGGCATGAAACAGAGATACAGGCAAAATAAATAAATAAAAAAGGGAGGGGGTTACAGGCAAAAAAGTTGTAGGGTATTAGGGGTGTGAGAAGCTTGGAACCAAGGAACCTGCAAGAAACCAGTGTAGTTTGAGCAGAGAAGGCAGTGTCTAGTGAGACGAGGGATGGTAGGCAGGGGTTAGGTCAAGCAAGACCTGTTGGGGCACATTAAGGATTCGCAACCAAACCAAAGTATTGGGCTGGAAGTGACACACTAGATTTACATTTTTATAGGATCATTCTGCTTGGCATGCAGAGAACGTATTAAAGAGAGGCAGGAGTGGATGTAGGTGGAAGAGCAAATAGGCTATTATTGGAGTCTAGGGAAGGAGAATGGTGGCTATGACAGAGGTAACATCTGGACACCTGGGCAGATTTGAGGCATGTTCAGAAGATAAAATCAGTGGGTTTAATGGTGGGTTAGGTGAGCGACGTTAAGAGGAGGCAGGAGCCAAAGATGACTCTCAGAGTTCTGGCATAAGCAACTCAGTGGATAGTGGTGACATCTACTAAGGAAAGAAGCTCTTTAAGAGTTTGGAGGGGATTGTGATTGTTTTGGCTATGCTGAGTGAGAGGTACCTGTGGGACCTCCAGGTAGACGCAGAGGTAGCTGGATATGGGGGTCTGGAGCCCAGAATAGTCTGAGCTGGAACTGTAAATTTAGCAATATATATTTGTAATATAGATGGAAACTGAAGCCATGGGAATGGATGAGATCACTTAGAGGAAAAGTCTGGTATTAGAAACAGGGCTTGTACTGAGCACTCAGGAAATCTACTCCTTAGAACTGGAGAGGAGGAGATGGGAAGAAAAGTGACTTGGAAGTAGGAGTGTGGGAGCCAGCCCCTAGCATGGCCTCTAATGACCACCTCCCAGTATTCATGTCCCTGTGCACTCTCCTCCCACATGGAATAGGTAACCCGTGAAACCAATATGATAATGTGGAAATGATGGTGTATGACTGGGGCTGGGGCTGTGAAATCTTTTAAAATCAGAGAACTGTTCAAGTAAGGCTCAAAGAAGCATCAGTCTCAGCAGAAGTTCAAGGTAGACAAACGCTTATCTCAAAGATGTGTGGGTATGGCTTTAGTCTATCGGAATGAATCACAATAATATTCATGGGAGACACATAAAGTTTTAAAACTAATTATATTGGCAGTAATGCTGCCAGATTTGGACTGAAAGGGATACTGTATAAAGTGAAAAGAGGCCTTTGGATTCCCAGAATTCTACTGGCAACTATGTAGTTGCAAACATGGGCTACCTTTCACGGAAAGGAAAGATGACTCAGAGGGTAGAACCAAAAGCCCAGAGGGGCTACCTATGGTGGCCAACCTCCAAGATGGCTCCCAATGACATTCACCTTCTGACAGTCATGCTTTTGCATCATTTTCTCCCACACCGAATCGGGCTGATCTGTGTAACCACTGTGATACTGATGAATGGCAGTGTGTGACTTTTGAGGGTAAGCCATGAAGACATTGCAGTTTCCACTTTGCTCTCCTGGATGACTTGCTCTGGAGGAACCACTTGCCATGCCAAGAAGACACTGAAGAAGTCCTACAGAGATGCCCACATGGTAGGGAACAGTCACATGGATAAGTCAACCTGGAAATGGGTCCTCCAGCTTAGTCAAGCTCTCAGATGACTGCAGCCCTGGCCAACATCATATGACCCTGATGAGATACTAAGCAAGAATGACCCAGCCCAGCTGCACCCACACTCCTGACCCACAGAAACTATGAGTTAGTTTGTGGTTTTAAGCTAATGTTTTAAGGTAATTTGGAACATACCAACAGATAACATAAAGAGAAAGACCAGAAGAGTGTGAGTTCATGTAAAGTAAATGGACTATGTTTCAAAGGAGTGAACAACTGTGTCAGATATTGCAAAATGGTAAAATATGTCTGATACCAAGATGATGATGATGTGCACATACTGATCCTGAGTTTTGTTTAGACATCTTGATCATGGGGAAAAGATTATGTTCAGTATACTCAGTTTAAGAAAACTAAGAAGTATATATCACTCTTTTGCAGGTCCTTCATAAAAAAATATTTTTTAAAAGTCTGTGATCTCTCAATGACAATGGATACATGTTGTACTACACTTATCTGGTGTATCAGCAACCTTCTCCTATGGAAACACCATGTCATTATTAGCCTGAAAGTCTGCAGAGTCACCTGCCCTACAGCACCCCAAGTGCCAGAGATGCTGGAGGTGCTCACACAAGTTAAGCCCAGTATAAAGTTTATTCATGATATAAAAGACTCCAAAAATATTTCACTAATAACAGTAACCACCACCACCTCAGATTTATATTGTAATTTATACATTAAAAGTACTTTCACCACATTGTATTATATGCTCACAACAAACCCTATAAGGTGGATGGTTTGATAGAAAGGGCAAATACAGTCATTCCTATTTCCCAAATGAGGAAACTGAGGTCTAGAAAGCCTTCTGTCACTTGGTTAAGGCCACACGAAATACTTATGGTTAAGGCAGTTCTTCGACATCATGTTCACTGCTCTTTCCAAAACATCCAGGCAGTAGTCAGCAGGGACTATTCATCTAGCAGCTACTTCTACTACTCTCAGAATAACTCTAACACGACTTTCTACAGAAATCTCTCCTCCTTATCATGTTCCAATGCTATCCTTCCTGTGGCTGGATCCATGGATTCTGTCTCCTCCCACTTTGGTTCCTATGCAACGGTGTGACTTGCGCATCTTCCACAGCCCTCTCCATGGGTGGCTAGACAGTGCTGCCATTATTTACAACATTCCCCTTTGGGAGTTGCCTCCAGACAGCCAAATTCTTTCCAGCGAGAAAATCAGTCTATTAAAGTTATGCTTCACTTTTTGATGAAAAATGGCATCATCTAGCCTGACCACCTCCCTTAATCATCAGATTTTTCCTAAACTTCAATCTATCCTCAGAAGCCAAAATTCTGCCAACACTGAGTATATTCAAACACATTTATTGCAGGGTCTGTAGGCATGCCACAAAGGCATTCCAGCAGGCATCGATGAGAATACTTTGGATGTGTAATCAACAATATTATTAAAAACAATTGGTTATGTGTGTTGAGTGACACTTTGCATGCTTTTTCTAATTTAATCCTCACAAGAATTCAGTGAGGTAGGGTCCAGGTCTATTTATTTAAACACCAAACAGCACCATCTGGTCATAGACATAATGGCCCTTACATCACAAAGTGCAAAAGTGATACCTAAAACGTATGCTTTGAACAACTAATGCCTCCTCCACAAAAGCCATCACCTCCTCAGAGGGTGGGTCTGGTCCAATTTGGTGTGTTCCACACATTTCCAAGCCTATTAGTGTTCTGCAATACAATCCTATATCAGTTGGATTTTTAGTACATTTTAAGTATGTGCATAGTGTCTGGAACAGAAATAAGTGCATTTTTGGCTTCTGAGAAATTCAGGAATTCATTTCCACCCTAAGCCTAGCTCTGTGATTCTATTGTGCCCTTTAAATTAGAAGGACATAAGAAACTACATTTCAAACTTGCCTTTGCTTCATTTTTCTCCCATCAGAGATTAGTGTAAGGAGATAAGAAATGAAGATTTAATCCAAGAATTCATTTTTAAGCAGCAATTTGAAGAGTCAAAATTTGGCACCAGCTATCACTATATATACTTAAAACCCTGTGTTTCTTGAAAACCATCTCTGCAAGTGTGATGAGCTCCTTGTCTTGAGCTCCTCATTCACACTGACAGAATCAAAGACGAAGGCAGCCATGCAAAAGCTGCTATGACCAGGAGGAAAACCACCAGCCCATTCCAAACAAGCCATCCTGAGTCATGACTCTCAGGACTTCGGCCATGACCGCGGGCTTTAAACCATTCGACTACTTCCTGGAGGCTAAACAGCTGAGCCTCATAACCCAGCTCTCTCCTGGCTTTCTCTAGGCTAAAGTAATGTGTGACACCAGTTTTGTAAACTTCAGCGCGGGTGAGGAAGGGCTGGAAGTTGTACAGCTGACCCAAAATGAAGTGGACCATCTCTGTTAGGAAAGCCAGGCCATAGATGAGGGTCAACGGCAGGCGGGTGGATGGGAATGTGTAGCCCAGGCCCTCAACCAAAGGCCGGAAGAACTCGAAGTTGTTCACGGGTCTGCCATCTGAGATGAAGTAGGGCTGCCCTGAAGCGATGTAGCCCCTGTCAGCTTTCAGGGCCTCTGAGGCCAGAATGTGAGCCTGCACCAAATTATCCACATGGACAAATTCAACCAGGCTCCCAGGGTCCCCGTACACAAACTTGAACAGTCCCCTCTCGAGGTAGCTCACAATCCTGGGAAGGTGCCTTTGTTCTCCAGGCCCGTAAATACCAGCTGGTCTCAGGGCACAGGTTCTCAGAACACCCTCGCTCCCTTCCAGGGCTGCGCCATTTGCCTCCAGCACTTTCTTCTCTGCAATCGACTTGGTCCGAGAATAGTGATCAGGATGGAGGTGAAGAGGTAGGTAAGGCAGAGATTCGTCTCCATTTCTGATAACTTGCCCTCCAAACACGACATTGAAAGTGCTAGTGTAAACAAACCTCAGCACCCCTCTCCGCCTGCAGGCCCGCAGGATGTTTTCTGTGCCCCCGACGTTGACTTCTTCTATCAGGTTTCGGTTCAACTGCTCCCGCCCTGACATGCCATAAGAGGCAATGTGAAACACACAGGTGACATCCACACCCCGGAAGGCTTTCTCAATGTCAGAGGGGTGGCGGATATCTCCATGTACAAATTTGACTCCTTCTGGAATGGTCTGAACGGGGCTGCTGATGTCAAACAGAATCACATTGGCTCCTTTCTGGTTCAGAGCACAGCCTAGGCTGAAATGAGACAAAGTGAAAGCTACATCAAGTCTATGCCTAGGAAAAGTGTATAGTTTACTAATCAAGGGGCAGGGGGCGCTGATCCAAGTCTTCTTGGCTTATCCTGAGTCCCTCCCTTTACATGCTCATTTTGTAAGTCTTATGTAATTTGTGGAAACCCTGGTGGCATAGTAGTTAAGAGCTACAGCTGCTAACCAAAAGATCGGCAGTTTGAATCCACCAGGCACTCCTTGGAAACCCTATAGGGCAGTTCTACCCTAACCTATAGGGTCGCTATGAGTCGGAATTGACTCGACAGCAATGGGTTTTGGGTTTTTTATGTAATTTGTAATTCAAATATTTAAAGATAAGACTGCTCGCATCTATTTAAATTCTAATTAGAGAGGCTTTATCTTCAAAGACAGTGGGGTCTACATATTACTTTTTTTTCTCTGTTCCAGGATCTACCACCCATTCTCTGAAATATTTATGAATAATAACATTAACTGTGAAAGAATGTCTATTATTTTAAATTGGTTTTGGTGATGTGACTAATCACTCCCCGCCCCAATTTAATGGCTTTATAAGGAATTTTTCTCAAAGTGGGATATAGCTGTAGTTCTCAATTTCAATGTCCAAGTAAACATAGTTTACTTCTGGTTGATCACTACACAGACAAATGAAAGTCTGTGTTGTATTAATCTCTGAGTTGAAAGCTATACTTTTCCCAGCAACTATCAGTAAAAAAAACTCCATGGGCATATTTTTTAGATGTACTGACCAGAAACCAACATAGCCACCTCCTCCTGTAATGAGGACAGTTTCCTTTGGAGATTTCTGGGAGGCCATCTGTGACAGTCAAAAGATGTAACTGGACCTCTAAGAAAGAAACATATAACACTATTACTGATCCAGTGCAAATGTAACTCTAATTTAGGGTTAACAAAAACAAGAAGGCAATGCCTGCTAGTAAGAAGAAAAGCTAAGACCTACTTCTAGCCACAGCTGTGTGACCTTAAGCCCCCAACACCCCTTACCTTCTTGGGCTTCAAATTTCTTCATATGCAGTATGGGGACAGTGATACCCACCCGGCCTACCTCACAAGGTCATTGTGAAGGTTCAGCAAGATAATGTACCTGGGAGTGCTTTGGAATCCATAAGCACTTTTCAAATGTAAGGCATTATTGTTAATCCTTGGAAAAAATGAGTCTTTTTTTAGAAAAAAAATAAAATTTGGTAGGGAGAGGCATTTCCTCGCATACACCAGAAAATCAATAACAGAACACTAAAGCAAATTCCCAACATCTTTTGTTTAAAACAGGGTTTCGAACAGGTTCGTCCACCCCAGATATACTGAATTGGAACCCACATTTTAACAACATTCCCAGGTGATTCTTACATATAATAAATTTTGAGAACCATTGCTCTCCTAGCAGTTCTCAGAATTGGCCCCCAACCAGCAGCATTAGCATCGCCTGGGAACTTGTTAGAAATGAAAATTCTCTACAGGGGTTCCAACCAGAATGAACCAGTTTGAAGCCTTGGTTTAAAACAGCACACTGCAACATGGCTTAATATTAACCTTACACTTAAAATGCGGGAGGCGGGGTGGAGATTCCTTTATGTAGCAAATCACATTTCCCTCCTAGGAAATCTTGTAAGTACCTTCAAGTTCAAGTGCTCAATGCCTATGGGCCTATTTCTTCTCCCTCTCTACTCGTATATACCAAAGAAAGAAAGACAAAAAAACCTCTCAAGGATGCAAGACCTCCTTCTTTCAAAAACAAAACAAAACAAACAGTCACCTACTCCTTCCAGTTAAGAAGAGAAACGGGGCAGAAGGCACACATGGTTGCCAAATGCATTGGGATTATTGACACACACACACACACCCACACATACACACAAACATTTTCAAGTCAACAGCGACCCTCAGAAGTGTGATACCAGGGAGACAACCCAGAGCCCTACCACTGGCTCCCACTTCCTCCACGCCAGGTCTGGCCCCAGTGTAACCACCACTCCCGAAAGTGGACGTGAACAAGGAAGAGAGTGGAGCCAGGTGGACAATGGGAGCAGCACAGGCTGGGCCTCTGAGGATCATGCAGGATAAAGAGCCTGCGTGGAAGGGAGGCTGTAAGCAAGAAGTCAGTGTACATGCGCAAGGAAGAAAAAGTATGTGCAACAGGAATACACAGTGTTATATTGCCTCTGCCCCTGAAAGACTGTGATTTTGGCCAAGGCACTTGACTTCTCTAGACTTCAGTTATTCTCTTCTGCAAAGTTGCAACAAACCTGTGCAATGTTATATGAACTCTAAGGTTCCTAAAAAAGCAGCGTGGTACAATGGAAATAACAGACAAACGCTTACATAGTGCTTATTGCTAGGGGCCAGGCAGCACACTAAGCACTTTATGTTGCTGCATGCCATCAAGGTGATTCTGACTCATAGCAACCCCATGTGACAGGGTAGAACTGCACCATTGGGTTTCCTAGGATATAATCTTTACCGGAGCAGATCACTAGGTCTTTTCTTATAAGGAGTGGCTGGAAGTTTCAAACTACTGATCTTTTGGTTAGCAGCCAAGCACTTAACCACTGTGCCACCAGGGCTTCTACCTTACATATATTAACTACTTAATACTCATAATAACTCTATCAGTAAAGTACTATTATTTTTTATTTTTTATTGTGCTTTAGGTGAAAGTTTACAGCTCTAGTTAGTAGTATCTCATACAAAAATCTATACACATATTGTTATGTGACCACAGCGGCAATCCCAATATGTGACAGCGTACCCCCCTCCCCCTTTCCACCTCGGGTTTCCCATGTCTGTTCAACCAGCTCCTGTCCCTTTCTGCCTTCTCATCCCACCTCAGGACAGGAGCTGCCCATTTAGTCTCATGTATCTACTTTAACTAAGAAGCACATTCTTCACGAGTATTATTTTATGTTTTATACTCCAGTCTGATCTTTGTCTGAAGAGTTGGCTTCGGGAATGGTTTTAGTTCTGGGCAAACAGAGACTCCAGGGGCCATGTCTTCCGGGGTTCCTCCAGTCTCAGTCAGACCATTAAGTCTTGTCTTTTTACTAGAATTTGAGTTCTGCAGCCTACTTTTCTCCTGCTCAGTCAGGGACTGTCTGTTGTGTTACCTGTCAGGGCGGTCATTGGTGGTAGCCAGGCACCATCTAGTTCTTCTGATCTTAGGCTGATGCAGCTCTGGTTTATGTGGCCCTTCTGTCTGCTGGGCTAATATTTTCCTTGTGTCTTTGGTGTTCTTCATTCTCCTTTGCTCAGGGTGGGTTGGGACCAATTGATGCATCTTAGATGGCTGCTCACAAGCTTTTAGGACCCCAGATGCCACTCACCAAAGTAGGATGCAGAACGAACATTTTCTTAATAAACTTTGTTATGCCAACTGACCTAGATGTCCCCTGAAACCATGGTCCCCAGACCCTTGCTACCCTGTCCCTCGAAATGTTTGGCTGTATTCAGGAAACATCTCAGCTTTTGGTTTAGGCCAGCTATGCTGACTTCCCCTGTGTTGTGTGTTGTCCTTCCCTTCTAAGATAATTCTTGTCTACTATCTAGTTAGTGAATTCCCCTCTCCCTCCCTCCCCACCCTTGTAACCATCAAAGAATGTTTTCGTCTGCGTTTAAATCTTTTCTTGAGTTTTTACAATAGTGGACTCATATAATATTTATCCTTTTGTGACTAATTTCACTCAGCATAATGCCTTCCAGATTCATCCATGTTGTGAGATGTTTCTCGGATTTATCATTGTTCATTATCGTTGCATAGTATTCCACTGTATGAATATACTATAATTTGTTTATCCAGTCATCCATTGATGGACATCTAGGTTGTTTCCATTTCTTTGCTATCATGAACAGTGCTGCAATGAATACAGGTGTGCATATATCTGTTCGTGTGACAGCTCTCATTTCTGTAGAATATATTCCAAAGAGCAGGATTGCTGGATTGTATGGTTCATCTATTTCTAGCTTTTTAAGGAAGTGCCAAATCGATTTCCAAAGTGGTTATACCATTTTACATTTCCAAGCAGTGTATAAGTGCTCCAGTCTCTCCACAACCTCTCCAGCAATTATTATTTTGTGGTTTTTGGATTAATGCTAGCGTTGTTGGGGTGAGATGGTATCTCATGGTAGTTTTGATTTGCATTTCTTTAATGGCTAATGATCATGAGCATTTCCTCATGTATCTGTTAGCTGCCTGAATGTCTTCTTTGGTGAAGTGCTTGTTCATATCCTTTACCCATTCTTTAATTAGGTTCCTTGTCTTTTTTGTTGCTGAAATTTTGCAGTATCTTATAGATTTTAGAGATCAGACCCTGATAGGATATGTTGTAGCCAAAAATTTTTTCCCAGTCTGTAGGTTGTGTTTTTACTCTTTTAGTGAAGTCTTTTGATGAGCATAAGTGTTTGATTTTTAGGAGCTCCCAGTTATCTAGTTCCTCTTCTGGTGTTTGTGCATTGTTACTTATGGTTTGTATTCTGTTTATGCCATGTATTAGGGCTCCTAGCGTTGTTCCTATTTTTTCTTCCATGATGGTTATCATTTTAGATTGTATATTTAAGCCTTTGATCCATTTTGAGTTAGTGTTTGTGCATGGTGTGAGGTATGGGTCTTGTTTCATTTTTTTTGCAGATGGATATCCAGTTCTGCCAGCACCATGTGTTAAAGAGATTATTTTTCCCCCCGCTTAATGGACTTTGGGCCTTTGTCAAATATCAGCTGCTCATAGGTGGATGAATTTACGTCTGGATTCTCAGTTCTGTTCCATTGGTCTATGCATTTGTTATTGTACCATTACCAGGCTGTTTTGACTACCATGGCGGTGTAATAGGTTCTAAAATCAGGTAGTGTGAGGCCTCCCACTTTGTTCTTCTTTAGTAACTCTTTACTTATCCAGGGCCTCTTCCCTTTCCATATGAAGTTGGTGATTTGTTTTTCCATCTCATTAAAAAAAGTTGTTGGGATTTGGATCAGGATTGCATTGTATCTGTAGATCACTTTGGGTAGAATAGACATTTTCACAATGTTGAGTCTTCCTATCCATGAACAAGGAATATTTTTATACTTATGTAGGTATCTTTGGGTTTCTTGCAGTAGTGTCTTATAGTTTTCTTTGTATAGGTCTTTTACTTCTCTGGTTAGATTTATTCCTAAGTATTTTATCTTCTTGGGGGCTATTGTAAATGGTATTGATTTAGTGATTTCCTCTTCGAAGTTCTCTTTGTTGATGTAGAAGAATCCAACTGATTTTTGTATGTTTATCTTGTAGCCTGATACTCAGCTGAAATCTTCTATTAGTTCCAGTAGTTTTCTTGTGGATTCTTTGGAGTTTTCTGTATATAAGATCTTATCTGCAAATAGGGATACTTTTACTTCTTCCTTACCAATTTGGATGCCCTTTATTTCTTTTCCTAGTCTAATTGCTCTGGCTAGGACCTCCAGCACAATGTTGAATATGAGTGGTGATAAAGGGCATCCTTGTCTGGTTCCTGTTCTCAAGGGGAATGCTTTCAAACTCTCTCCAGTTACGATGATGTTGGCTGTTGGCTTTGCATAAATGCCCTTTATTATGTTGTGGAATTTCCCTTTATTCCTATTTTGCTGAGAGTTTTTATTTTTAATCATGAATGGGTGCTGGACTTTGTCAAATGCCTTTTCTGCATCACTTGGTAAGATCATGTGGTTCTTTTGTTTTATTTATGTGATGGATTATACTGATTGATTTTCTAACGTTGAACCATCCCTGCATACCTGGTATGAATCCCACTTGGTCACGGTGAATTATTTTTTTGATATGTTGCTGAATTCTGTTGGCTAGAATTTTGTTGAAGGTTTTTG